TGGTCACGGATCAATGTCCACATGTTATAGGTCAATTAAATTTGGTCACGGATCAATTTTCACAAGTCACAGGTCAATTTTCACGGATCACAAGTTACGTGTAACTGGTCATGTATCAAAGGGTAATGGTCACAGGTCACAAACTCAAAAGATATGGTCACGTGCCATTGATTTGATTAGATTTTCAACGGTGAAATTTGAAATTATTTGCTCCTGTAAGTACTCTGTAAATTACACTAGTGGCAGTTTTTCAATTATCAATTTTAAATTATACCAACATTGTTGAGTGCTATTGAAGAAGATGGATTAGTTGTCGGCAATGCACAACTGATGTTTTCCAACGGTTATATTTTTTCCTCTATCTCTATTATCCAAGCCAAAGATGCTCTATCAGTTTGTCGCTCAAGAAGTTGTTGACGGGGTTGGATATTGACAAGCGGATGTCGACAATTGTAAGAGGGGATGGTGACTGCATAATGGTGGGGGATGGGGGTGGGGGATCGTTGTTTGATAGGATAGACGTTGGTAGATTAATTTAAATTGATAATATTATTATTTAAAATTAAAACATTGAATTAATATCTGACTTTTGAATTTTTGAATTTAATGTCTGAAAATTGATTTGGTGCATACTTAATACTTGACTTATAATTTTGTTTACCTTTCTATTTCTGAATAACTAAACGAGTCAAATCAACCAAACCTCATCCACGTGACCTTGGGCTTGATCGTCTTTTCTATCCGCTACCATGCCAAGACATCGGCCCCCTTTTTATAATTTTTCTTTTTTTAAGAATTAACCTATTAAGGACTACATAATTAAAAAGGATGTCAAGAATTAAGAAAATTGATGCATATTTAGCCAATAAATCAATTTTGAAAACAATAATTATTATCTAAGGCTAAAAATAAGTAAATTGTTTTTTTAAAGTAATATTTCCATTTGCAATTAGGCCTCCATTTGGTAATATTTATAAACAATTTAATTTATATAAATAACATTGAGCGTTAAATAAGTGGTCAATAATACTCGTGAATTCATTAAAATTTATGGTTAAAAATAAAGTTTATCATTTATAAATTAGCCAAACAGAGGATAAATTATTGCCCTTATTATCTTTACTAATCGTTGTCACGTGCGTTGCACGAATTTTGTATTTATTGTATTTTTATTAGTATCAAAATTGTAGATTTTCCAAAACTTGTTGAAGATTCGAGAGCAAGCAATCCTTATTGCTTCATCCGAAATTCTTTTTGGGAATTTGGACTTTCATAAGAGCATTCATTACTTTTATGTAGAATTTCTTATAGTAATTGGATGGAAGATTGTAGCACTTAGATTGGAAAAAAGGGGAAAAGGAAAAAAATCTTTTCTTTTAAGCAAAAAATTTTTTTTTTTTAAAATTAAAAAAAAAAAAAAAAAAGATAAAAAAAAAAAAAAAAAAAAAAAAAAAAACCACTCGCATACACTCCTCCAACCCAAATTTTTGACAAAGAATCTCATTTTTTAATATAAATCATTTAATGTTTCAGATTTATTTTGTTAAAAATTTAAAAAATAAAAATAAAAAATTAGTCCTAATCCCAAATACCCCAACCCCACAATAAATGGAGAAAATGAATATCGACAAAGAGAGAGAAACAATTAGGGAAATGTATAGTAAACGAATAAGGCATCGTCTCTTTATTAATGAATGACCAAAAAAAATAATGTGTAAGAAATTTTTTTATTGGTGGATTATAAAAATAATATTAATTATTATTTGATACCGTAAATACAGCTTATAATCTACATTTATCTCTAAATTTACACAAAATCTGTAGAAATAAACCTAATGACAAGTGATATAAATAGCAACAAAGATAGTTTACCAAGCATAGGTTGATCTTTTGCAGCAATTATTTTAAATGGTACTTATTTTTATCTATGTTACCTCAACTATTAATCTCACGCAGAGGTGTAAAAGTAAGTTGGCCGTCAAATACCGAACAACTTGATTGGGTTTCCAAGCTTGGAAATCCAAAATTCATCGCACCATGAGCTTACTCTTTATACATGTCTCTCTTCCATTTTATTATTCAATCATACCCAATAATCTAATGTGTCATTAACATTATAAGACCCTGTTTGATACCCACTTTTATAAGAATGAGAATAAAAAATATAGCTGTTATGAGACACATACAAAAGAGTAGAAGGTCAAAATTGTGGTTTGATGTGATAGATAACGCTCATAATTTTCATTTTTGTGACAAAAAAATGGGAATCAAACGGGGTCTAAATTTGCTTAAAGTTCGTGTGTCCAATCTAAAGTCAAAATTAATTATCTAATTTGTAGACGACAAGCAAGAAGAATTAGAAGGCATTTATAGAAATTAAACATGCCGACTACTCTGTAGTAATGTGAAGTTTCTTTCCTTAATTCCGTAAAAATTGGATCCATCACATAATTATTAGAATTTTATAGATGGAGCTAAAATTCAATGAAAATAATGTGTACATAAAATATTTCTCTTATCTCATAGTACATTCCATGAATATGCTTATATTCACTAACAGAGAGTGGAGAGATTTCTTCATCCAACATTCATTTTTTTTTTTTAGTTTCATTTTTTTTAAATTTGTTTTGTTCATGTTGTAACAAAAATAAAAATAAAAATCGTTTTAATTCTTTTCTTTTAAATATCAAACACAATTTTTTTAATTTTAATTAAATAATATTTACACATTTTTATTTAATTTTCGTAACTTTCTTTTATTTTGTTTTTATTATATATTTTTTAAAATTTCTTCTTTCTTCATACTATAAATAATTTTTTTAATTCTTTTTGTTTTAATTAAATAATATTTATTTTTCAATTTAATTTAAAAAATTTATAATAACTTTTTTATATTTCTTTTTGTTTTTGCTTTTAATTTTTTCCTTTTTTTGTCTGCCATTTTTTTTATTTTTTAATTTGTTAAATTATTTAGTTTGTAACTATCATTTTATACCAACACGAATAAAAAAACTAAATGATTTATTAAATTAAAGAACAAAAAAATTTACAGACAAGAAAAAAAGCAAAAAAAAGTTATTGTAAAGTTTTTAATTAAATTGAAATAATTAAAATTCAAAATAAATATTATTTATTTAAATTTAAAAAATTACGTTTTATGATAAAACGAAAATAATTAAAAATAATTTTAAATGGAAAAAAATTATTTGTAATATGAAGAAAAAAGAAGTTTTAAAACAATTTCAAAAAAATAAAATAAAAATAAAATAAAATAAAGTTATGAAAATTAATAAAAAGTATATAAATATTATTTAATTAAAATTAAAAAAAACTAAGTTTTATCATAAAAAGAAAAGAATTAGAAAGAATTTTTTTAAATCGAAAAAATTATATGCATTATGAACAAAACAAATTTAAAAAAAAAAAAAACTGAATTATTTGGCAAATTAAACAACAACAAAAAAATTATAGGGAAAAATAAAAAGAAACAAAAAAGGTTATTGTAATGTTTTGTTAAATTGAAATAATTAAAATTAAAATAAATATAAAAATAGACAAAAAATGTTATAAAGTTTTTAAATTAAATTGTAATAATTAAAATTAAAAGTAAATATTATTTAATTAAGATTGAAAAAATTGCATTTTATTGTAAAATAAAAAAGAATTTTAAATCAAAAAAATTATTTATAATATGAAGAAAAAAGAAATTTTAAAAAAT